CCCCCCCCCCCCCTCCCAGGGGCCATATGCAAGAATCTTAAGATTAATAGTCTACAACACGACTCGTTTTGTGTAGTAGCATTGCAAAGCCTACAATTATTGTGTAGGACAAAAAAATGTTGCAGGACTTTGAATCATATTTGAAAACCCAATGAAATTCGAAACATAAAACTTATTAGAATTTACATCTGTATCTAAATGTGGAATTTGGGTTTTCCTCAGAGGTGGGTAGTCAAGCCGAACACCAAACACATGTTTGCCAAAGTGATTTAGAGCATATACATTTATTAGCACTATAATTTATATTTTATATTAGAATGAATATTAAAAATCAATATTTAATTCAAATTGAATCTTTAAGTTGGGTTTCCTGGCGGTGGGTACTCAAATCAGAACACACATATGCTTGCCAAAATGCATTGCAATCTGACAACTAAACATTAATCAAAATATGTTATCGACTAGAAAGCATGATACAGTGTGATTTTAAGTTAATTACTGTTCCATAAATCTGTAAGCATTAACAAATACAAATTTATTTTTGTTGTAGAAGCGAAAAGAGTTGGGGAAGGGTTTTGTTATAAAAAGCTCAACTCGAAAACGGGAGAATGCAAGTCAAAGATGAAAGTAAAGCAACAAAAGGTCGACTGTTGCTCAAGTGGTGGAGCTGGATGGAGCGCCAGACGAAAGGACAGAGCACAGTGTGAACCATGTAAAACCTCTGTAGTAGGTATTCACCACATCAGTTTTATTTCATTTTATATGGGCCTAGAAATTCAATAGACCTTTCCCGCATTCCAACAAACAATGGCTCCGAGTCGAGGTCAGGGTGGACAAAAATACAGCAAATATATGAAAATGTCCACCCCAACCTCGCTCTGGTGCTATTGTTCATACGCACTGAAGTGGAATGCGGGAAAGGTCTATTATACTGGAAGGAAATATATTTAACTAAGATTTGCTACAAAATGTCACGAACTACTGGCTTAACCGGAACTTTCGATGTGCACGAGACGCAGTCATGCGATTTTCGTTTTAGATAATTTGAAACAGATACAGGACCGTGTTCACTTGAGCCTCTTGTATTATTAAAAGTTGACGCAAAGTAGATAGCTAGCCGTTAATACTCTCAATTGTATTGCGAGAATATTCATCATTGTGTTCGTCAGCCTCTTACCTCGCACGTGCAGCGTCACGTGTATGCTTAGATGTTTTTTCTCGTGTTCAAAATAAAAAAAGTCTCGTAAAAAAAAGAGAAACGTTTTTTGGATCATATATAGGGCTTGATCCTAAACGGTGAATTTTGTTATTAACGGGCCCTGAATTGAGACGTGGAGTTGTTTCAAAGCCATATCACTTGATAGTTTAACTGTTAATCAAATCTTTGAATTGAATAGAAACAAGTTACTGGGGCGCCTGGAGTGAGTGGAGTAATTGCAATGCAACATGCGGTCCATCATTCAAAGTCAGGACAAGAGAGTGCATCTCAACAGGAATCAAAAGTTGCAAAGGAAAGAATGAGAAATCGAAGCCTTGCCAGACTGAACCCTGTCCAAGTATGTACTAGTGTGTTCTATTATGTTATTGTATAACATGCCCACATTGGAAGTTTATGGTGCTTCAGTCTTGTTGTACCAATGAACAATTGCGTGAAGTCCAATAATAATTAAGAAATATAAAACATGCACCGTGTTTCTATCGAGTTTTAGTATAAATCTACTAGCGTTCTATCACGAATTGCGTTCTCTGATGGGCTACGCTACTCACTATCTATTCCGTGATTTATAGTGACTAGCGTAGCAGTGTGCGCTTGTTAACAAAATGACGGCCGCTTCCTGGCGTTTTCGAAGTGTTCGTGAGGAGGATTTAGAAAAAGTTTTGAACGACTATTAGATTTATACTAAAACAATTAGATTATTCGCTCTCGTTTTCTATGCGTGATAGAAATCTGGAGCTCATAACCTAATTGTTTAATAGGAACACGATTTTAAAACAATCAGCCTGCGTATTTTCTTGGGCTATTTTCTAATGTTCAAGGCCATTGTCTTTTTCAGTCGATGGAGGATGGTCGCTCTGGGGAAACTGGACAAGTTGCTCAGTGACCTGTGGAAAAGGCCTTCAAACACGAACTAGAAATTGCAGTAACCCTACTCCCCAGTTTGGCGGGAAAGATTGCCAAGGAAAGTTGGAAGACGCGCAATCCTGCAGTGACACGGAGCATTGTCCAAGTGAGTTAACGATTTTATTTTTTTTATCTGATGTTACAGAAACTCGTATCAAGGACGCGTTTTACAGTGCGACTACTCGTACCGGGCCAGCGTGTAAGAAACCTAACCAATCAAAACGTAAACTGAGAACAATGGACTGGTAGTTTCTCGTTACGGCAAGTAACAGTCTGTTTGACGTGAAAACATAATCACTATCGACTCCTCTGCGTTATATACACTCTTAGAGGTTAAGTCCTTGAAGGCGAATTGTCATAATTATAAATCTAGCTCGAAAAATTTACCTTGAAAACTCATTTTGCGACAACTAAACAGAAACCGGTGAAAAGCGTACAAAATTTAGGATCGAAACTAATCAATCAATAAATGACAAAGTTTTCCTGAGAGGTTCGCAACCCCTCGCACTTTGATGGGTTTTCAATTTTGCTAAGATCTGTTGTTCGTATTCTTCAATGTTATTGGTTTATTTGAGGAAAAGATCGCCATCCTTTGTTTTCAAGTAACGTTCTGATTGGTTAACTCTTTTCCAAGTTGCCCGGTTCGAGTTGTACTAGTCGCACTGTAATACATGTTACCATATCAACTTTATACTAAAAACTAACACTTTAGAGGTCGAGCCAAAAGCACTCTTCAATGGACAGAAGAGAGGTTAAGCACAGACGTTCTCAAGTTAACATTCGAAAACATTTCCACTTTTAGAAATATCTTGATCCGCAGACCAGAACACTCAACTATCCAATCAGCGCACGAATGTTGCGTCTCATGATGCGAGGTATCTTTTCAAGAAATATCCTGATGTTATGAATTTGTCGATCTAAATCAACATCAGCGATGTTTCAGAACGCGAATAGGAACAAAATAATCCCACGATCTATTTGTTTCTTTTTTTTTGTTGTTTTTTTCACTGGTCGGAAATCAACCGATTATAGAAAGAGACTCTTCCTCTTTCCCGTGACCTTTTGGCCAGAACGTCATTTGTTAACGACGTAATGAATAGCTTTCCAACTGAATGACAGCAGTGGAGGTACACCGGCTAGATTCACCTCCAGTTTGCTCTTCGTGACTCAAAGATGTCTTTGATTAACCTTTTAACCTTTAATTTCAAATCTAAACATGAATTGTGCCTTCACATTTTTGTTTTCCTTTCAGTTCATGGAGGTTGGGGTGAGTGGAGTAACCATTGGTCGGAATGCAGCGTGTCATGTGGATTGGGAATACGGACACGTGAGCGGGAGTGTGACAATCCTAAGCCTAAGTATGGTGGTAGACCGTGTGATGAAAAAGAACGTCAAGATGTTAGATACTGCAGAGAACAGATTTGCGATCCAGGTTTGATCCTTTATCTACTTTTTCCCTCGTTTTACTGCTTTTT